CTTTACCAATTTTGCGTAACATAATCGCGGTTACGCCATCGTTGTGTTCTAGTGTGTATAATACTTTTCTTTTTAAGGCCATGCGCACAACGGCATTTTTTGCTTTTTTGCGCGTGGGGGAAATTACATACTACCCCCGATCGCCAGCGGTTCTTCAAGTGAAACAGGTGGTTAAGCTTGAGGATCCGTCTGGTGCTACTGTCGGCCTTAAAATCAATTTTGACGATTTTAAACATTCTTATAACCAACCTCGTATTTCCATTACGCTTTCCCGCCGTTCTGACACATGCCCTGTGCAAAGCCTTTTGGATTATTTATCGTATCGAGGCCTGTCGGATGGCCCACTATTTCAAATGTTTGATGGCCACCCTGTTTCACGTAAAACATTTCTTTTTTGTTATTAGTTTTTCGCAGCTGTGGCCTCGATTCCTCCAAATATAAGGGCCACAGTTTCCGTATAGGCGCTGCGACTTTTGCGGCCATTTGCGGTTTTTCAGATGCTCAGATTCGAGCTATGGGGCGCAGGAAATCCGATGCCTTCCGTAAACATATTCGCTTATCCAACATGCCTAGTAGTAGTTTCCGTGCTTAATTTGGGTGGAACTGGGATCGGTATGGCTGCATTCTTTCTTTAGCTAGCAGGGCTTTCGGTCGCACTATTTGTTTGAGCATGCTCTGCCAGGCGAGGGTTTTAGCTATGCCGTGTTGCTGATGCAGGGGCAAGGCTTCCGGTTGCTTCACTCTTAACTGCATTATTTAGCATGCGTTTTGCATCACATTATCTGCTATACTTTGTCCGATTGGCCCATCTTCGCTTGTAATTAGACTTTCTAGGTTACGGCATACTGTACTTTGCCTTCATCGTTGATTTGGTTTTTGCAGTCATGATGGGGTGGGGGTGCCTCCTACCTGAGGAGGCTTGTGGCGGGAAAATGCCCCCACCTTTTCTGTGATATCTGTTATTTCATTTATGTAAATATAATTTATTGGACATTATTTATCAATAAACCGGCGTGTTCGCACGCACACAGCCATTATTTTTCCCAAATGGGCGTTTAGTGTTTTATTCTCGCATCACAGAAAACGGAGCTCATCAGCACTGCAAATTACCGTGGAGGGGGGTCATATAAAGTACAATTAATTTTAAGGGAGGCGATAAAGGCACTATTTGCTCGCCGAATAGTAATTTTATTGCCTCCCGCGTTCTATTTAGACATATAGTATAGGCATTTAGCTACATAGTGACCTAGCGCACGCGACAGAATATCACAGGAAAAAGTTGTTACATTGCGGGATTTTACTTCACGAAGCAATCGCATGGTAATACATGGGACATATATAAGCGCGAGTTGTCTGTGCGTGATTCATTCCTCTGAAGCTGTCATTGGAGCAAGATCTCAAGTCAGTTTCGTCTTTCGATTGCACCCTCCCTTCCCTCCCATTTCTCTTTCGGTCGCCTGCTGCTTCTGTCACTGCTAGCTAACTTATCATATATATATATATATATATATGTTCAAGGTGGCGGGAAAATGCCCCCACCTTTTCTGTGATATCTGTTATTTCATTTATGTAAATATAATTTATTGGACATTATTTATCAATAAACCGGCGTGTGCGCACGCACACAGCCATTATTTTTCCCAAATGGGCGTTTAGTGTTTTGTTCTCGCATCACAGAAAACGGAGCTCATCAGCACTGCAAATTGCCGTGGAGGGGGGTCATACAGAGTACAATTAATTTTAAGGGAGGCGATAAATAAATATACATTACGTCACTGTTCGCAACATTCTCCCCCGCCGATGACGACGTCGTCATCGCCATATCCTTCGTTAGGGTAGATCACTGCAATCTTCGTCACTGGCCTTCGGTATTCTCCAGTAGGGGTCTTCAATGTCCACGTTTCGCACTTTGCCATCAGATCCGGGATGTACTTTTGTGATTCGTCCGATAGTCCATTTTCCTCTTACAGCATTTGTATCCACTGTCATCACCACGTCGTTCACTTGGATATTTCTACGATCTACGCTCCACTTCTTTCTTGGGATAAGTGACGGGAAAACATCGGTTGTCCATCTGACCCAAAACGAATCTACGATTCGCTGCACAAATTCTACACGATCTCTTGGGTTCTTGGTAGCTTTGAATGGACCTTGCGGTACATTGGACGAGGAACGACCAAGCAACATGTCGTTTGGAGACAAATACGATCCATCATCCGGGTCGTTTGGAATATGGCCAATCGGTCGCTGATTAACCAGATTTGCAATTTCTAACAAGCACGTGTACAACTCGAATGGTGTTAGTATTTGCTCTCCGAGTGCTTTCTTTAACGCGTATTTACTGCTCTTCACCAAAGCTTCAGAGACCCCGTTTTGGTGCGGCGCTGCGGGTGTTATAAACTACCATTTCATTTTCAGCACAGAAATCACGAAGTGTTTTGATGTCCCAACCTTGTATCATCTCTCGTAACTCTCTTGAAGCACCAACTAACTGGGTCCCATTGTCACTTTGGACATCCTCTGATGGAGAAAAATCTTCTGAGAACTTGGATGTAACTCATCGTGGAATAGTCGACAGCCAATTCTAAATGAATTGCTCTAGTGTTGAGACACGTAAAGAACACTCCGTAGTGTTTTGCTGTCTTGTTTCTTCCGACTTTCACTGCGTAAGGGCCAAAGTAATCACAAGAAGTATAATAAAACGGCGGCGTCTGGGGTGCTAGTCGTTTTTCCGGGAGATCTGCCATCAGTTGAGTTTCTAACTTGTGTTCCGTTCTTTTGCAGAATACACATTCGTGTTTCACTTTCTTAGCCAGATAATGCGCTCGTAGAATCCAAAACTTTCTTCGAATTTTGGCAGTGGTTGAAGCGATACCAGAATGTCCTCGTTGATACATGTGACGCGTTATCAATAGGGATACCGAATGTTTGTAGGGCAACATTGCGGGATGCTTGCAGTCGTACGTCAACATTGCTTTGCTCAAACGACCTCCGACTCTGATAATTCCCTCATCATCTACGAAAGGGCTATACTGCTTCAATTCGCCATTCTTTATTCGGCTGTGAATACCTTTCTGCGCTTGTTTGATCCAATACACTTCGGCCTTGTACAGGTCATTTGGGGTGAGAGTTCCGTCATTTTCTGTTTCGATGGTTGCGTTACTTCCTTCTCGCTTGCTTCGTACTTTTGCTCCGAGTTTCTGTATTCGAGCAGTTACTCTTACTAGTTTTCGCCAACTTGAAAAGTTCGTACAACATATCGCTTCTTTCGTCGTGCTTACGGTGCAAACAACTGGTGTTTTACGACGTTCCGTGTTTACTTCTTTCTCTTCTACTGCAGCTGAAATGGTTTCAGGCCATTGTTCTTCTGGGGGCTAAGAAAATCGGGTCCGGATTTCCATCTTCGAGTTAAATCTTGCACTGAATCCACTGATATGCCTCTAGATAAGTCATCTGCTACATTCACTTCTCCGGGGATATGCTTCCATTGGAGTGGATCAGAATTGCTTTGAATTTCTCCTATTCTGGTCGACACGAATGTTTTGAATGATCTAGCTTGCGAGCGAATCCATGCCAACACAATCATGCTATCCAGAAAATATACGACTTTCTCAAATTGGAATCAGGATTCTTCTGCGATGGTTTTCCCTAGACGTGTAGCCAATACTGCTGCCTGCAACTCCAGTCGTGGAATTGTACGCTGTTTCAAAGGTGCTACTCTTGATTTCGCTGCGATAAACGTAACACCAAACGTGCCGTCCCTGAGAGGCCATCTACTGTAAGCACAAGTTCCAAATGCTTGGATAGATGCATCCGAGAATATACACAGAACTGGGTTTCCAAATGCGTTGGGAGGAGTCAGACATCTTTCATTTGTGCGAACAACTCCATCCACTTGTTGTGCGCATCTACTGGCAACTGTTCGTCCCAATCTACTCCTTTCTGCCAAAGATGTTGCATTCCAATCTTGGCTTTAACAATAAAGGCAGCGGCAAAACCGAGTGGACCAAATATGCGAGCTATTTGACTCAAGATCATTCGTTTCGTTATCCGTTTTCCTTGGATTTTCTGTTCAGCGGCTTGTTCAGAATTCAAAAGTTCAACATTAACTTTGAATGTGAAAACATCCTTCAAATGATCCCAAACAAGTCCCAGGACCTTTTCAGCGGTCTCGTTTGTAAGTAATGTCATTCCGGTCGAACTGCTTCCGTCTTGATTCGAGTTATCTTCATTAAGAACATGATTTGATGTCCAGCCTTTAACTTTGAAGCCTCCTGAAGCCAATACTTTATCTACGTCAGTAGTGAGTTGCTGTGCTTTCTCAACGTTTGGCACGGAATCGCAGATGTCATCGACGTAGCTATTCTCGAGAAGGGTTTTTGCGGCTTCCGGATTGGTTTCTCTTGCTTCTTCTGCTGTTTTACGGAGTGCAATCTGAGCCATAGCCGGTGCTGGCTTGTCGCCGAATGTAAGTACGGTCTTCGCGTAGACGTCAGGTTCTCTGTCCGTTTCTAGGTTCCTCCATAGAAACCGATGTACGTCTTGGTCTTCTTTAGGAATCAACACTCGATGATACACTTTAGAAATGTCTCCACTGATTGCAACTTCGTTTTCTCTGAATCTTAACACAACACCGAATAAGTTATTTAGCAAGTCCGGTCCTTTGAACCAGTAATCATTGAGCTTGTGTCCTTGGTAACTAGCTGACGAGTTAAACACGATACGAACGGGTGTACTTTTCTTCTCCGGTCTTACTACCTCGTGATGAGCGATGTAATGTACTGGACCTTTGTTGTTTGTTATTTCTTCCTTCGATAACTTTCTAGCAAAGTTCAACTCAGTCATTTCGGTTATCTGCTTGTTATACTCTTTGGCGCTGGCGAGATCTTTCATAAGGATGCGTTTGGTGGCTTCTAGTTTCTTGAGTGCCTGGCTTCGAATTCGGTTGTCTGGTAGCAAGTTTTCGTCCTTTTTCCACCGATATGAAACCATCAACTGATTTCCAACTCTTTCACACGAATCCTCAATGATCTTCTTTTCGCGTAGTTCGATTGGACTAACCTTTTCGGGATTGCACTTACATGACTTCGTAGTAACACCCATTGCTTCCGTTATCCAGAAGTCTGTCATGTCTACTGGATTTGTCAGCTGGACGTGCAACACTTTGTTAACTCTTCTTTGATATCCACTTGTTCCACCGAACACGACTCAACCGAGGGGTGACCGACGAGCGACTAGATTTTCAGCTTCCTTTGTCTCACCGGTATGCATCTTGGCATGATTAATTCCAATAAGTATGTCTATTGGACCGTTTCCTCGAACAATCTTTCTTCCTTCGAGACCCAGTTTCTCACTGACTTTACCAACATCAACTGAGGCGACATTGTCACTAATGGACGGTATTCCAATAGCAGTAATATGATGAACACTATTGTTCTCGAGTGACAGTAAACTAACTTTGTATAACTTGTATGGATCTCCTCTTCTTCACCTCCGACTTTAGTGATGGTTACATCCGCATCCTTTCATTTCAACCTTAAATCTTTGGCAACCGAGTTTCGAATCAGGCTTACTTGTGCGCCATAGTGCAATAAGATGTTAGCTTTCCTTCGCTTTCCTTCTTGACCGAGAACTTCCGCTTGAATAACTGGGAGCATACTTTCTTTGCGGTTGTTGACTGAAGCAACTCCAACTTGACTGGGTGGGCTGGATTAATGCAGCAGGGGGTGGTGGTGTGACTTGCATTGTTGACCGTTTACTTTGCCTGTACACTGGCGTCTTCGTGAACATGTAGCTGCTTTATGATTCTTGCTGGTTTTCTTCAAACATGAGAAGCAAGCACGACTTTCTCTTATCAGCTTCATTCGGTTCTCTGGACTCATACCTTCTAGCTTCGAACATTGATCGACCCAGTGCGTTGAGGTCTTGCACAACTAACACTTGTGCCTTTCGTGTTCTTCATGCCCGACATGGTTGACGTTCCATCTTGTTCTACCTTGGTTTCGCAGAGGGGCTGATGCTCTCATGCGGGACTTCATTTCTGTTGTCATCCACTTCATAATGTTTTCCAGTGTGGCTTCCCTTTTCTTTCGAGATCTCGTGCCCAAACCTTGCGATCATCACTTGACATTTTTTGCTCGATTAAAGCTAACATATGATTATTGTTCATATCGTTGGGGCGACCGACTTCTTTAAGTGTGTTGTAACACTCTGTTAACTAGGTTGACCAGTTCACAAAACCGAGCGTCTTCGCCATCCTGAAGTGCTTTGAACTTGGATATGTCTTGCGTAATTGTGTCTGCTATGAATCGTGGATCTCCATAAATTGAGTCGAGATACTCCCATGCTGCTTTGTAATCACATCGTATACCCTTAATCAGTTCTAGTAGTTTTCCTTGAAGACTTGCCCGTAGTATTGTTATTGCATCTCTCTCGCTGTACTGTGATTCAACAACATGCTTGTAATCAGCCCGAAACATTACGTAGTCTCTTACATCTCCACTGAACTTCGGCAATTTCGGCTTTTCAACTTTGAACGCACACGATTTAACTTCCTTGTTACTGGTTGGACTCTCTGCATTATTATCCATTTGCTGTACTGCCGGTTGGGGTGTCAGTTCCTGAACTGTTTGTTCTGTTTCTTCGGTAATTTCTACATCTTGAGAATTGCTATCTGTGTTTTGTTCTGGTATTGATTCTCTATAATAGCTGTGTTGGCATTTTCTCCGTTATTTTCTTGGGTTTCTGTGTTTTCTTAGCTATATCATTTTCTGCGCATGTGTCTTGGGTGACCTGTTCCTGTTTTGATTTCAAAATATAATCTTTCGCTCTGAATTTCAAAATTAATGTTTTCTCACGGCAATCTTCGATCCATTTTTCTTCCTTAGCAAATTCTTCGTCATCGACCTTTTCTACCAAAGCCTCGTGCTTTTCTACGACAGTTTTATAGTCTATTTCTACTAGTTCTAGCGCTTCTGTTATCTCTTCAACAGGCCGGTTGTTTTCAATCATGCTGTATAAATTATTACTACGACGTGTTAGCGAACTTTTCGCGTTTCTTCTGGCCTTTTTCGCATCCATTTTACAGTGACACTTTATCAGCCTTTGCTGTGAACCTTTGGGACTCCAGATATAAACACAGAAATCGAATTTATGGTCCGTTGGGTTCGACAGAACTCAACATATTACAGACAAAGACCCGCGAATCGTATAGTCAATTGAACGTATTAAATATGTCAATAATTTTATTCGATCTAAAAGTATAAAAATACAAAACTAATGTAAAGTATAAATGGTACATACGTGTTCTTTCTCAGTAACTTACTTCTTGGCGAGTCTTTGAACAATCCTCTTTAACAACAAATAATTCGTCCGATATATCTAGCGTGTCCGATATAGTTTCAAGTCGCTATTACAAACCTTATAGCACATGTTTTATTTCCCGAGTCTTAGCATAATTAAGAATGGCTAATGTGAATATATTACATAAATAAATATACATTACGTCACTGTTCGCAACAATCATGGTTTTGAGTGCAATTTGGGGGAAACATGCCTTTCAAAACATACACTCATTAGTGTATGTTTTAATTTCCAGTTTGGCTGAGAAACCATATTATTACTTATTTATACTGGAAGTTACTACAGCAAGAAAAGTTCTGCATCATACCCAAGGGATCAAAGGCAGCATGTGCAATGTGCTGAATATTAAATTTATAACTCATAAGGCCACTGTTTGTCAGTGTTTGATGAATATTACCATCAATGGTCATTATTTATTTTGAAAATGATCATAATGAAGGGTAGGCATCGGGTAATGAAAGGATAATAAAAAATGTAGGGTGGGCATCAAATGTTGGACTCCAGTGGCTTATGACAGTGGCCACTGCCTGTATAAACTTTTATAAACAAAGCCTCCAATGAGAAAAGTTATAAATACATCCAAAAAAGGCAATAGGAATACATTGTATTGATCATACAGTATGAACAAACTTATCAACAGACATACTGTATGTACTGTATATCCGTCACTATATCGAAGTCTCGAAGCTGGGTGTAACTACATGTATATAGAATATTGCCTACATAGTGTTTTTTGTCCAGCATACAGTATATGTTAAAATATGTAAAGGCTGATTTACACTACACAACTTTTGCCTAAAACTGTCTAATGCAATCTGCTTACTACTTGAGTTGTACTGTACTACGTAAATCAAGGACGCAACATGCCTACAACAACATATGCAAGTTGTGTATGGTACTTGATTTACACAGTACAACTGAAGCGGTAAACAGGTGGCATGAGACTGTTTAGGTAAAAGTTATTTATAAGTTCATATTGGGTCTGTGTTCATATTGTTTTTTTTTTAAATCATTAATGAGTGCAATTAATTTAAAAATTGCACTCACAACCAACCAAATTGCAATAATTTTGCCATGTAATCCTTAATCCACAGATGCAGACATCTTTTCATCCTTTAAATAAAACACAACAAATATTGGTATTTGCAAGATATGAAGCATTAGCTATCAAGCCATCAGTTTGTGTTATTGACCAATTCATTTGGCTGCGGTTGATAACGCAAACCTCGGGCTCAATAATTCTTCTTGATAATTTGGAGGGATTTCACAATTCCAACAGTATGAAACAGAAATATATACATTTCAATTGATTATAACAAAGTTCAATTTTTATGCAAATGCCCAGCACTTTGTACAAAAAGGCTTTTCATTGAAATTTTGAGAATATCTTGTTGTCAATGCTGTACTGGTACAATGTATAACTTGAAACTGTTACTGTGTCATGACAGTATTTAGTAGCATTACAGTGTTACAAATGCTGTATTTTAAAGTATTTTCTGTTTTTCCTTTTGCCAGATGAAAGGTGTCGGTTCCCAAACTTTAAGATGTAGTGAATCCGTAGTAGAACGTATAGCCTCAGGATGTACTCACTTGGGAACTCTGGACATTGAGGCACCAGGAAAAGCGGAAGTTCTCGTGTCAAATGTTTTGCGATTCCTTTGCTACACATGACATCAGGAAATACACGAACAATTGTGTTTTCAATTTGAGTAACGTACGAAATAAATTCATCATTTGGCACAGTAAGTCCACCAAATGTCTTGATTCGTAGCCCTTGAAATAGCAGAAGAGCTTGGAACTGCTGTCAAGATTTGGGTTGATGAGACTTTCCTGACAAGTATTACACTGATGCTTCTTGCAAGATAGCTTTCGCAGCAACGTAACCGGCAACAGATGTGATGGCATTCGCCTCAGTCGCATCATCACAGATATTGAGCTCTCGATAGTCTGATTCTTCGAACACAAATGGCTCGGCAATAGGTTGATGTTCTGTTGTCTTTTTCTTTGTCGCTGGCTTCAGAGGAACCAGGATGCTGTTGAGGTCTTCTGCACAATTACCGGATGATTGTTGTAGAAGATGTCGATAGAACAGCTTTCGGAAAGCTCTGCAGAACTGAACCGATGTTGGGTTTTCAGCATTACCTCCCTGTTGACGGATTGATCCAAAGAAGTTTTCGAGGGCATCTTGATTTAGCCGTCTCGTGCATAGAACTGTTGACCAGATGATTTAAGTCCAAAGGTGGAGTGTTCCGTTGATCGTACCTCGCAATGCATTCAAGCATTTCAACAAGCTTGTGACATCTTTGTTGGTATCTTTGTTTAGGACTGTAATGTTTGAATAAGATCAAACATTTATTTTAAAAACTTCATGTGTGCCGAGTTTGGGGTCATTGGTCTTCGAAACACTTTAGGGCTGTTAAATGAAGAGCTGTCAAGACAGTCAAATGTTTTGTCGAGCTTGGAAACTAATTCTGCCGTTCCACACGCTGATGACGGAAGGCGTCCAAGACTCACATACGTCTCGATTCCTGCTGACACCGTGTAACTGAGTGTTTGAGTCGCATATTTAACTTTCATTTTCTGAAATCCGTTAGGATGAAGGTGTAGAGCCGTTAATTTTGGACATAGTCGAATAGGTAATCTGCTGTCATTGTTGAACACGGTTTCGACTTTCGATGTCAGTCCAAGAAGCGAGCTTGCCGTCAAATTGAAAGTTGTAGTTAATGAGATTGTTCCTAATTGCTTTTATGATATGAGGTGGATCGTAGAGATAAAAAATCTTTACACCATTGTGCAGGAACCATGGACGTTCAGGTGTAATTCCGAGCTCGCTAATGAATCTTTGAAAATTCGACCCCAAGTCTGAAACAATCGTGACTACTTTAAGCCCAATAGATGCCATTTTGTCTAGTAGTTTGAATAGCTCTCATTTAACTTTGTCGCTGCCACACGATTCGTTGACCAAGTAATAAGCGATTGGTTGCTTCCAGTTTTCAGTTACACCGTGCAACATGAAAGCTACTGCCGAAGTTGACACGAGTTTGGTTTTGTTCTCACCGTCATCTTCCAAACCAATGATCTCGTCCTTTGCTGTGTCATAACATAGATTTGCCTTAATCGATATTTCGTCCAACGCGATTGTACACAGTCTGCTGTTTTCATTCATTGTCTTAACCTTTCGCTCAACAACACCCAACGCAAAATCGGTCAGGCCTGGATTATCAGGCATACCAGATATCCACCTCAGAAGGCTGGCCTTCGATGGTAGACAGAACAATTTAGACATAAACCGATATGCCTTGCCGCTGATATGATAAAGTGACAAAGCAAAATGTTTTGTCTCTTCACTATACCTCTGACCTTTGTTTGCCTTGGTATGAAGATCCATTTGCATTTGGACGAGGTTTGCAACTCTTTCCGGTAAAAGGGTTCGAATTGTCTCCATTGCTGTCTTTTTATCGATAAGTTGTTGACGCTTTTTTTTCATGAACGCTGGTCGCATCCTCTTTAACTGTTTCCGTTGTCGGTTAATCACCAGCCGCTGTTTCTGTTTTCCTGGGCTCTGGCTGGACAACGACTTACTTGTTTGACACCCAGCGCTCTTTGTAGAACCTGGATTTAGATAGAAATAAGGAAAATGTAATTTGCTTAATGATCGTGAGTATATGACCACGTGACCATAATACTACATGGCCATGGTATTTTTCAGCTAATACCATGACGTGGCAAGCATGTTGATTATTAATGAAAAGCTATCAAAAGTTTTTATTTAAAATTAAATTAAAAGTCATTAAATATTGATCAAGTGAATGATATTTGTTTTCTATATAGTATCTAGTTCAAGTAAAGGTAAAATCCATTCTAGGCCATCATAGACTTTTCACTCAGGGTATTCCCCATTTCATCGCTCAGAGTTATTTTTTGGGGAACACCTTTCTTCCAGGGCTATATACTAGGGGTTACTATCGCAAGGAAAGTGCTGCTTTGGATCCACAGGCAAACACTGAAACCTCAAATGTATCTGGAAACTAAATACAAGATTATTTTCATTTGGCTTAAAACACATTTACATGTACCATCAGGGGGGGGGGGGGGATTGGCCGAATTGCCCTGGGCTCCACCTTAATAGGGCCCCAACTTGAGAGCGAAAGCCAAAAATTGAGTAGGTTATTTAAATTGGTCAGAGAATTTTTGAAATTGAGGGCTCCTTACAGTACATCCACATGCAGTCTAGTTAAGGTCTAGTTGGGTCTAGCTAATTAGAAGTAATCATTTAATGGGCCCCCCAGGGAAGATTTGCCCTGGGCCCCGCAAATTCTCTGAGCGGCATTGGTACCCATACAAAGAAACAATGTATGTACGATTTATTTGATTTTGATCAAAAATTGAGATTACAACACTTCAAAAACTGACTGTACAAAAACTATTTCAAATTTACAAACTAACATATTCAACATATACAAATTAAAAGAAGAGAAGGAAGAAGAGAATGAAGAAAAAGACATGTGGACTAAGTGCACAAAATACAAACATACAATACACAGACAGTAGAAGTAAACAGACACATAGACAGAAATGACCAGGGTGGGATAATTGGACTGGTACTCCGACAACTTTTGCCGCGTACCTGGTCTGGTACAAACTTAAGAGTCAAGACGTACCTAAGACTACTTCCGAGTCATGCGTTTTTATACCTACGTATAGTTTACTGGTCCAAAAGCAAAAAATGTATGGGCAATTTTGTACAAATGAATCTTTAATTATGGTATTTGTACAACATAATATAACAGTTTTCAAAGCGTCGACGTTGTGACTCGACGTTGTGACTCATTTACAGTGGATTTACCGAGGGTGCTAACAGTCTGACCTCAGCTACATACTGTGTAGTTTTCCTCATTGGGCCTAAAAAATACCTGTGACTGTGGTTCCGGTTTCATATCGCGAAAAAATGTACAGCTAAAGTTTTTCACGGTTTTGAATACTTTGGCAGGTCTGCTAGTTATTGCTAGAAGGACAACGTAAGTACGCGAATAGCAAATTTCTGCGTACCTACGTGGTACTTGCCTAAAAACAAAGAAGTACCAGACCATAAATTTGGCGTTCCTCCGGTACGTTGGTACGTGAATTATCGCACCCTGAGTCAATGACGATGAACATAAAAGTATATGAGCACAGACAGGCACGCAATTTGCATTTTTTGAAAGAAATAGGACTGGAAAATATGTCAGACTTCTCTTACATACAACGTTCCAGGGTTTGACAAATCTTAAAGAAAGAAAATTGAAAAGTACATGTAGTTGCACAGAGGAGTTTGAAGGACAGCACTAACAACCTGACTAAGTTGTGTACATGCTCAACAAAAGAAACAGGAGTCATAACTGTTCATGTTAATGTCAATATAGGGCCATTCCATTTAATATCCCCCCCCCCCTCCCATGCATGAGGTCAGTAAAATTTTAACCCCTACAAAACCCTCAAAAATGTGTAAATTTTCCCCAATACCCCTTAGAAAAATTGCAGAGATCAAGGATGCCGACAGGCTTAACCTCTCAGAAACAACTTCAAATGTAGTCACCCTTCACAAAAATCCACAGAGAAATAGAAGTTCCAATGTCAAGGTCTCTTTAAATGTCATTTCTCAACAATTATCAAGTTCTGTCTATATATTTTTGAAGTAACAATCCATAGAATATTTCGAGTTGTCAGGATGGCACGACTTGTTGGTGTAACTGTATAAATCAGCACATAAATTCCAATGACTTTATGCCTGTGTATATGCCTCAATTGACTCCACCACAAATATGGGCCATAGACACATTTTACTACTAAGGTTCCAATGACCAAATATTATCTGAAGTAACATAATTTGGAATGGAAATTAAATAGACACTCTAAAATCTATATATACAGTTCACTGGATATTATAGAGTTCACTGACACTCGGATTGAGAAGATATTTCAGGATGATTGAATGAATACGAATATGCAAAATAAATGCAGATTAATCTGTGTATTGAGCAATCATGATCAACTATTTAGACTCAATACGTTAACTGGCAAAAAACGAACATTCACAAAGTAAACAGAGCTTGTATATATATATATATATATATACAGGGTGTATAAAAAAAAGCGCAATCCTCGACTGAAATGTAAATTGCTAAACAAATAATAGACGAAAACGTTAAAGTTTACATTCATTTTAAAGCGTAGCCATTCAGCTTTCTAACAGTGGGTTGTTTCTTAAATTTGACTCATTGGTTCGCGGCTAATAATACTTTACGTTATTGCGATTGGAGATTAAAGAAATTGAGATGGAATAACAAACGTTTCATAAAAAACTGATTTTTTCATTAAAGCAACAAAATGTTGCATTTTATTAAATGGATTGTAACAATAAGTATAATTACGGCTTCTCTTCCACTATTTTCAACAGAGTTTGAAACTTCAAATGCGATATAATTTTGGCTTGGACCATCTAAGCTGACTGACATCAACTTGCTATAATTTCTGTTTACATTACATCGCAGTTCGATGACACTCTGGCTCAGACACCAGAATGTTTTGACGATTTTAGCATTCGTTTAGGATTTTCAAACAACCTGGTCTCTTTTAAAATACTTTTAATTTGTTCTTACGTGGTTTTCAGATGTAGTGACGACAACATTAAAGCTTAAAGAAGAAAATTCTAACATTTAAACCGACTAAACAATAACATAGTAAACTTGCATAATTAAACAGCAACTAAAATGATAGGTTTTACTAAATCTTTTCCTGTGCAATTATTACTAGCATTGGAGACAAGGATAATAGTTTGTTTGAAAGAGAAAAGAACAGGCTTTGAAGTAAGCCTAAAAGCGTTTAACTAGAAATAGTAT